TCTCAGTAATCGTGTAGAACCACCCTGTTGATAACAGTGTCCTAGAAACAAAATTCCTGCTAACCCTGATAAGAAGTTATGACTTCAGAGGTTTTGTCTTTGTTTCTCACCAGCCAGCTCTATTTTAATTGGCAATAAATTAAATTAATTTCCTCCAACTGGGGTCTGTTTTGCCTGTGATGGTAATCGGTAAGTGATCTCCCCATCTTTATCTCGACCCATGAGCTTTTCCTTCTTACTTTCTCCACCTGTTCTGCTGAGGAAGGGGAGTTAGAGAGCGGCTGGAGAGGTGCCTGGCAGCCAGCCAAGGTTGAGCCATCACAATGTGCTAGGCACAATCACTCATTTTTTTTTCAAGAAATTCTATACCTTCACTATTCTGAAATCAAATCCTTGGCTTCAGCATCAAATTTTCTTCACTAAGTCTTTTTCAGTAATACCAGAAGGATCTATAGTTCTTGTTAGTGACCCTAACTCTTTGAAAATGATACAATACAAACACACTTGAAGTGGCACAGCATGGTTTTTTCACAAGAAAATAACCCTTTTTTTCTTTTTTTAGCCAGTGAAATACACATTTTTAAAGCTTGTAATGTTGTACTAGAAAGGCAAAAATGTACTTGTATGTGAGCGCTGGCCCACTTTCCACTTCTCCTACGCTGGTTACAGAGTTCTCATTAGTTCCCTGACCTCTCAGTTATTTCTTTCCAGTTTTACTCATGTTGGTTTTCTGTATTTGTCTTTTAAACTCTAGTCCTTGCGTACATTCTCCAGTCATATGTAAACAATGCTGAATAGCTTATTCATACCAATCCAGACATGTCTACATGTTCAAAATCTATACTTTCTTTCTCTGCCTTTTGATGGTGTATTTATGCAGTATATTGACTTTCAAAAAGAAGTGCCCCTCAATGCTTGCACCAAAGCCCTCTGCTCCTTTATTTGTGCCTATACAGAGGTTTGTGTGATAATGCAGTAAACAGGACCACTAAAATGACCTGACTTAGAAACACTTTTTTCCTTCTTTTTTTTTTTTTAAGAAGTATTAGAACAAGACAATTTTCATCCTACAATAAAATTAATCTTATTTCTAGGAGGTCATTGTGAAAAGTAAGCATTATGAAAAATCTAAGACATACATATTATTTTCCATAAAAATAATTGAAAAATCTGTGCATTCTCTGCAGTGCTATTAAACATAAAATGCGATAGAATCCAGGAATATGTGGTATAGTAGCAAAGAGGCATATTAGCCACAATGTCTCATTTCTGATATTATAGTCACTCTACACTTAAACTCCATCTTACATATAGACATTGTTTTTCTTAATCTTTTTATGTGAGCAATAACACCAGCAAAAGCCTACCATGAAAATCTTACTGCACATTTCTTTTTCCAGCCCTAACTTCCTGATGTTTTTGAAATGCTAGTGTACTTGAGAAGTGGTTGGAGTATTTTGTGTACTTTTTACTGCAAAACACTAATATTACCAAAATTAGAATGAAAGGGTATTTATGACATAAAAGTTACAGCCAACTGCTGTCACTATCTCAAAATATAATCAGATTGCATGAAATGGGCTCTATGGCCTCTGTAGTGCATAGTTTTATATTATTAAGTGTAGCTTAGAAATAGCAGAAACTGATATTGATGGGATCTGTTCTTGATTGTGCGCAACAAGGCAGCTAGGAAAGCTTAAGGAAACTGAAACAACAATAAAAGTAAATTAAAGATCTAGTTGCAGGCCACAGATGACTCTTATTTCTCCTTCCACGTTTTCAGTAAAAATTTGGCAGGTTAGTAACCTTACTTAGCATCTTTAATGGTCTTCTGAGTTTGTATGCTATGATGAAACAGACTTAACTGAAAAATTGTTTCAGGCTGCTAAACTATATAAACTAGTGTAATTGCATTGACTAAGCTGAATAAGCCAGAAAGTGTCACACTGGATGCAAAGATTTAATAATTGTCAGAGAGGTGCTAATAGGTAGATTTATTAACAGCTATGATCAAAAGAAGACTGGATAGGAGAAAAGGACAGATGAATAAAATATAGTATTTTTATAAACCAGAGTGCTAATTTTCACATGTTGCATAAAGTTACACAGAAAGAATTGAATGAAGGACTGTACAGTATGATCACTCTCAAGCCTCAGACAACAGTGTTTAAAAACCATCCACAAGATAGTGTACATCTGCATAACCTGCATAGATCAGCATATGGATAGCTATAAAAGGATATAACATGGACGGAATCGCTTGCTTATACAGTAGGATTACAGTATGAACTAAATGAAAAGGCTATTTTTCCATTTTACTACCAAAATAAAAAAAATGGAGAGTAATGAAATTAATTTTCAATTTGAAAACACTTTACTTGTAACGGCACTTTATATACCAAAACAAAACCAAAATGTGTGATTTTGTGCAATTTTTCTTAGAACTATGGAGACATTTCTAGTTTGATTCTTAAAGGAGCTTTTCAATATTCATGTGGACTACAAGCTATTACAATTTCCTATAGGAGGCATATAAGCATTGTCAAGTTGAGTGCAATACTACTGATTTGTTATACAGCTGCTTGTTTTGTTCAAAGGATCAGTTTGGTTTTTTATGTTACATATACATATGAATATGCACTCAGATTTTTATATTGTTCATGTTCCCCAAATATACTTCACTGTTTCACTTCTAACACTGAAGAACTTAACCAAAAGCAAATTTTAAAACAGATGCTTTTAATTAGAGCAAAATCCATACTCTACTGCACCACAGCTATCAGAAGTTTTGCCTAACTTACTGAGGAAAAATCCACAGCGATTCAGTCCAAACCAAGGATTTCTTTTAGATTTTGCTGGGATCCATGGAAACAGAGTCTTGAGAAGCTACATCTATATTGCTTTGTTACATTATTTGTGAGAGTTGCCACAGCAGACCCCTGCAAATTTCAAGGGACTTGCAGACCACACAAGTCCTGTCCCAACAGGACACTACAAGTGGTACCTTCAGGACTGGCATGTGTCCCACCACTTCTTGTACTGACTCCCACACCCTCCAAACATTTGTTCTCCCCCATTTGCAACAGACATAAGGTAGCTGCTAGGCTCCTGTCTTCAAGCAGCATAGTCGCAGCCCGAGGCACTGAGAAAGATGTGCTTGTGTGTGGCTGCTTATTGCTGGTGTTCACTATATCTGCTCCAAAATCTGCTCCTCAGCGAGAGAAAGAAGTTTTGACACTCATGGCTGACTTTGGCTCTACCTCATTTAGGCCAACAAAACTCTCGGGCTTATCACAGACAAGTAAATCTAGGCGATAGAAGTAAATCAGGACAATGTGGACTACAAGATGGCAGCAGAGAAAAAGAGGCTGTACGCTGATGTGATGGCTCATGTTCACATCTGTGTACACTGCTGCCCAAAAGCTGCAGGCATTACTCACCTTGGAGATGCTTCCTGTTACTTGGAGAATAACATGCATTGTCCTCCACAGTAGGTTTAGCCTGCTTTTCCAAGTTTACCAGGGGAAAAAGCCTACTTGGCAGGATTTAAGTGACCCTATATGGACACTGGAGAGACCCATAGTTGCAAGGTGGATATTGAAATTCTACTTGCATGGGCCAATCTGTGGATATCCATGCACAAGTTCTGTACTGACATTTATGTTCTGGCCAGTCTGAAGGAGACAAATGAGCCTACTGAGAGAAAGCAGGTTGATTCAAGTGTCTTGTCTTATAGAAACAACCCAGTGTTTGGAACACTGCTGCAGCATGGCTCAGCACCTGATGTCTCTGGTTCTGGATCCCTTCCAAACATCCTTTGTGCTGTAGTTTGAAAACACAGTGCCAACATGGCAGAGGCTTTCCTCATAGCTGACATAACTTTAAATATACTGATAATATCTCTGAGGGACTTGTGGTGTACCCGAAGGTGATTGGGAGGGGAATCTGGCAGTAGCTACTATTCATGACCACAGAGAATATAATCATGGTTATGGTGAAAGTACAGAGCACTTGTCAGGAGCACCATGAGATTTTTGTCCTTTCCCAGAAGTCAACTGCTGTTATAAGACAAAAAGCGATGATAATGACTTTATTGTCTGTGCTGGTGCCACCCAAAGAGGAAGGAGATAGAAACCGAGAGCAAGGTTTACACCGTGGTCTACACTGCTGGATTACCTTTAAACCTAGTCCTTCACAGCCTGTATCTGGAAGCTTGAAGAGACTTGGTTCACCTGAACATGTGCATACAGAAGGACACGGACCTGATCTCCAAGGACTTCAGGGATAGAGGACAAAACTGTGTTTCACATCTGACCGAGAGCCTGGATAGCCAATTTTAAGGAAAGAAGCTATGGGCTTGGAATCGACACAACTCAGAAGTCAACTAGAAACATATCAAAGGCTGCTAGGAGGATCAGATAAGGCCTAGCTTAGGGTTGAATGTATCTGTACGTGATTTGTGGCTTTGAAGAATCTGAAACGGGAAGCCAAGCATATGCTGTTGGGACCCTAAAGCAAAAAATGACGAAAACCCCCACCAAGCTGAGGCACTCTTCAGCATTGCTCTAATTAATCTGTACAAAGGAAGTGCAGAGGGGTAATTCAACAATGAAATCTTCTTTTATCAGAAGCTATGTAAATTTATAGCTAAATGCAATCCTTAATCCATAGACATGACAATTTGAAATGATGTTTTTGGATCCTTTTATCCCAAAATAAAATTCAGAAAAATCCAATGTGAATATCTTAACTTCTTCTTTTGATAAATTTCAGACACCCTGACAAGTAAACAAGGGAGCTGTTTTTCACATTATGATATTTGAAATAATCAAAACTGGTACATAAAATTATTACCGCTATCATCAGCTAACAATTTACCTTATTGGAAATCTTAGTAATGCATTGACTCTTTTCTTTTAGAAACTAGAATCTCTTCCCATATCCTCTGAATGCTGTGATTTCATTAGCTAAAAGGTAAAATGAAGCTAAAACATACTCACTTATTTTATTTCTCACTTCATTTAATTTTTTTCCAAGGCATTTAGCTTCAGTAAACCTGTCAATACAAGCATGATACAGAATTATTCTAAAGAACAACTAGTTAAACTAGTTGTTCACAATAAAATACAGAATTACTCAGGACTACTTTTTGATTTGTAAGTAGAACTAGTTGGAAACAATTTTCCATCAGAAAAGATTGTCTGGTCTAAAATAAACAATTTCTGAGAGAAACCATGCAACAAATAGGTTTACTAGACAGACAAAACAAATTTATTTGACTTTCTAAGCCTTAAAAATTATGTTATTTCAATTCTAACAATTGGATTCTCTTATATATTCATATTACACCACAATATTAGTTTTAATATGCTACATTACTTGCAATGTTTTAACATACAGGTCTATAAAAGTAAAAGAAGAAAATCCAAGCAAAGTCAAAACAAAATGTTTGAAAGTATTAGAACTTCTGCTCACCAGGAATTTTCAAATTTCATCCTGTAATTTGCATATTGCTGATGAACACTGTTTGTGCTGTGTGAAAATGTTCATCCCAGTCACTAAGAAACCTCTCAAACAGAAATATAAGAAAGTGTCACAAAACTAAATGATTCTGTTCTTCTACAGGTAGTCCTTATGCGAATGCAGACTTTCAGATGATATTTAGCTACTGCTCAAATACTGATACAAGCCAAAGCTAGCCACATGAAGATATGCAAATAGCAAGCAAGAAGCAGGCTGAGAAGGATGGAAACAAATCAATGAATCAGGCTTTAGAAACTCCCTTTTTGTAGTATGCAAATAGCTTGACCTCATACCAAAAATGGAAATTAGTTTTTTTTAAAATGTGAAATTCCCACCAGGTATGTTTCTAAATTAATTCACTGACCACTTCCTCATTATATTCAAATAATCAAATCTTCACATGGTATGTAAAATTTTCTAATGATCAGAAGTTTCTTTGTTAGCTTGTAACATGGTGTCGCAGTGATGCTCACTTCAGTGTTATTAAGCATCCTGCTCAGTCACCTCTTGCTCCTTAGGAAATGTGTCATATCTAAGTATATCCTTAAAAAACAGCTGCCTACAGAGCCTTACAAATTTATATTCTTTTATATTCTCTACATTCCCTACAGTCTGCTAGAAGTTGATGCCTTCTCCTTTTGTGCTTTTTTCTGTCAGTGTTCTGATCTTTTGCAGCAGTTGCTGTCATAATTATTCTCTTATGCTTTTTTAACTCAGTACTATATAAAACTGTTTAGGACAAATGGCATACATACCAGGCTTTCAAATGCCAAGTGTATTCTGCTGTAAAAATAATGACAGTCAATTCAATGTACAATTGAATGGCGAAGTCTGAAGAGTCTCTGAGAGAATTGAGGCTTGTTCAAGGAAATATCCATTGTAATTGTCTAAATAGTAATAATTTTAAATGTAGAAGGATGATTTGTTGCATTGTGACATTTGTTGTAGGACATTAGGCTTGACATGAAATTCTGAATTGTTACTTGGATGTGTACAAGTTGACCTTGCTGAATGTGGAGGCAGAACTGTAATACTCAGTTGTTAAGCAAGCCTTCAGCTGATCTGGAAGAGTCTTTGTCTAGCCAAAGTAACTGAGGAAACCCACAAACTGTATTTCTGTCTGGCTCAAATAATGGCAAAACAGAGTCAAGAAAAATTACTTTCCCCTGGGGAGGCAGGGTTTGGAAAATTGCCCCTTCTCAATTAGTCCATTTCCCTGTAAAACTGGGACAAGTTAGAATTTCAGGTGCTGGCATTCATATCTGCTCACGAACATTTGCTTTCAAGTCTGAATTCAACATGGGTAAATGGCTGAAGCTGGAGGGTTCCTCAGCACTTACCATTTCTTACATAAAGGAGGCAGAAGCCTTTGAAGCATCTGTGAGAAGTTTACATAAGCTTTTTCCACTGGTGTTAACTTAGAGCACCCAAGCAAGCCTTGAAGATTGTGTAAAGATCAAAGGGAAACACCCCAAAGTACCTCTCGTTCTTTCCCTCAGCTCTCATGAGCCAAATTCTAAGTTCATCATTTACTTAGTAATTCCTGAGGCAAAGCTCCTGTTGACTATTGACTCTGATTCATGTTCACAGAGAGATTTAGTAGTCAAGTTGAAGCCAGCTGTCTACCCAGCCCTTATTCAGAGGTCACTGCCAATAGTCAAATGGGCCTTCCTTCTGTTTCTCAAACACCACAGTTTATAAACTGGCACAATAGCATAAACTGAAATTTGTAATTAATTTACAACAGTCCAACAAATTCCATCTGTGACTATGAATCATAGTCAAACAAAATAAACCAGACAAATACATAAGATTTGACTCTAATTTTGAAAGGGAAAAGGCTATTTCTGATACTTCTCTAATAAAAAGATGATATTATCTAGCATAAAAGGGATATTGCTACGAATAATGATGAGTGAATAATTATATTGTTAGCTGAAAAGAGTTCATATGTACCCTACATGGAGACCATTCCACAGAAAAGCTGAAGTTGCCAAATCATGGCTTCTATTAACTACAAGATAAATACTCCATGATGAAACCCCAAAGTGAATTTAGCTGCTAATTTTAGTGGAACAAGCATTTTTGCAAAGATTTCACTCTTTGAATGCAAATGCCAGTAATTAAAAAATAAACATTTTGAAAACCAAATCTCTAACTAATAATGTAAACCAAGACAAACTCAGAGGCTGTCAATGAGAGAATGGAGACATGTAGTGAATTAAACAAACATTTGCTCATTTTTAGTCATCAGAAACTACAACAGAATTGATCTAAGTGAAACTCATTCTTTCCATGAAACTCATCCATAGGTACTGAAAAAACAAGTTAGCTGCTAAACAGCTGAAACACAGAAAGCAAGGAAAGTAGAAAGTGGAAAAAATTAATGGAGAACAACAAAACGGAAACTAGATTTACATCACATCTGTAAGCTCAGTAGAATTTTACTACTGGAAATATTGACTAGGATGGGATTTAAAAGCTTCATGCAGTATGGACTATTACATTGGAGTGGCTCAGCTGGGAAGATTTCTTGGTAGTATATTTCACCAGAAAATGAGATACATTGTTCTCCTCCTCAGAGAAACAATTCTAAGAGAACATGGATTGAGAAAGAGCATATTATTAAGTTCTCTGCAAGTCAGGTATAGGAAGTCCAATTTCAGAAATCTGATTCTGTCTGGGCATAAACAGAGATTTTTTTTAAGCAAGGCAGCAGTTACTAATGTACAGAAGAAAAATGAAAAAGAATTGCTTTGTATTAACTGCAAACTAAGCTGTAGAAGATCACCTTTTCTATCTTACAAAGCCACTTCTCATAGGCAACTTTTGTCTTTCAGTTGAACAGTAAATCAGTAAATGAGCTTCAGAGAGAAATTATCCTTAACTATATGTTTCCCCACTTTTTAAATCCAGAGATGGTACTGAGTTACAGTACTGAGCTACTGCCCCTGTAAAGAGCCCTGAAGTAGTTGGTGAAAAGTTTTATGTTAAAACCAGTATTTCTTTTACATGTTTTTTCAAACAAGACAAATGCTATTCATATTTGATTTAATGAACTAATTACATATTATTTTTTATACACAGGTAGCCACAGAAGAAATATACGTATATTGTATATGTATGATTACGTCTATTCACATCTATATGAATAATTTCGCAGCCCAAGCAACAGTTGCGACCTTCACAGTCAAACTTTCAACTAGGCTCACTGACAGTTCACCATTCAATTAATATAAGAACGATATAATTAGCAAGCCAAGAAAATCTACCCAAAATACCCAAAGGAAAAAAAAAAGACAGCTAAAAATAAGTAATTTGTGAACCAAATACTGTTTGTGGTATGACAGAAGTGGTTATGCAACTATAAACAAAATTATTAACATGAGAGGTCTACATATAAAGGGAAGTTATGGTAACCTTTAAACATGTGGTGTCCACACACTTCTTCCTGTGCAATTTGAACACTGGCTGGGTAACAGAGCTTTTGTGTAACTGGTAGTTCAGAGGCTGTATTCCAAATTACAGACTGGACTTGATATAAATCCATTTTAATGAACTTGGTAAACTTGGAGCTATAGCCATCTTTGCTAAAAATGACTGCAAATGGCAGGGGAAAACTGTCTTGCCCCAGGGTATCAACATTCACATTAGCACTGATTTCAGCAACCAGCTGATGCGTATTAGGGAGGGGTTTCCCAAGGCATTAGTCTGAATCTCTTTGTTCTTTAGGGAAAGCAAATCTGGTGTCAAACTTTGTGGGTTCTGCCCATCTCTATTATATGTTCTGAAACCAGAAGGAAATACCAGTTTTCTTCATAGTAATAACAAACAGAGAAAATATGGAAGAATTGTGATTAACTAAAGGAAATTCAGGGCATGGCTCAGAACTATATTGCTCCCATTATCATGCTGTGACCATGAAGTGTTCTGCTCAATAGACAGCAATGCCAGAAATGATGGCAGTGTAATCATTTATGCAGTGATGATGCAGTGATGTGGCAACATCTGATATATTAATCAGAAGAAAGGCATTACTAAACATCCCATTTAAATGGATAAATTCTTACATACATGTAATACCTTGGCATTTTTTGTTCCTGTGGCTAAGTTAATAGACCCAGGTAGAAAGCCAGTTCAGAAAAGTGATAAATAGCAAGACCTTGAATAAATCACAGAGATGTGGAGATAATTTCTTGCCTCTATTTCACTGAAGTAAATGAGTATAAGACTCAGTGACCCTAAAAAAAAAGTCTTTTGTGCCTATTGAGTGGGAAAATTGTGTTATTAAGAAAGCAGAAGAAAGCAGGAGAAACCTGGAGAAGGAGAAAACTCCAGGACAAAAGAAAAAAAAAAAAAAGAAAAAAAACCCTGTTAGGTGAAGTGTTAGTTACAAAGGTAGATCGAGAGATCTGCTTTTGGTCTCTCCAATCTCAAAACCTTGTATTTCTCTTTCAGTACAAGGAATGTTAGCACTTGAAAAACTGACACTGAAACAGTACTGTTATCCAATCAACATGGACAAGTGTTGGTGTTTAATTTCTGAGATGATTAAAATCTGCTTTATGAAAATTTGTGTTTTCAATGTTTTGCCATTCTCACCATCTTCACCAGAAGATTTTGAAGTGTTTTGCCAGCATTAACAACAAATGTGGGGGAGGAAAGTATTATTTCTGGTTTTGAGTGCAAAACTGGCAGAGAGAAGCTAAAATCATTTGGCAAACAAGTTAGGAACAACAGACAAAAGCATATGTTAAAGATCTCCTAGCTTACTGTCCAACTCAGTACCGAAGCCAGTAAAACATTTTTGACAATGGAAATTGCAGTAATTGATTCAGTCACATGGATCTTACTTCCTCTAGATAATTCATGATCATGAGTGCCATTTACCAGATTGCTTCAACATGGCTATGAAGATGAATAAAACCAGAGGAAAGGTGCACTAAGATTCCTCATGCCACTTTCATATTCTATCCAGACTCTTATTCTGTCACTACTCAGTGCCTTCTGAATACAAAATATCCCCAGTAAGAAATGGCAAAGTTTCTGTACCAAGTTCTCAATAGAAGCCTGGGAAGTCTGGTGTAAAATTACGCATTCCTACCCAGACTCATAATGAACTCTCACATGTCTGCTTCCGGCTGTATCTTGCTGTGACACTCACCTCTGTTTTAGAAGCTGTTTGTTGTCCTCAATGGTTACACTGTCAGCATGATCCAGCTTGAAAACTTCAAAAGCTTCCCGACATCCAAGTGACATCTTTCCTCCTGCCCCAAGGGAAAAAAAAAAAAGGGAACTACTTCAGAGTCATCACAAGACAGACATTTTGCATTTGTTTAACTCCTATTTAGCCAAATATAGGAAGTCAGCCCAGGGGTCTTAAAGCCCCCAGAAGACTAAGCTCAGTGTTCCACCAACGGGAAAGCATTTTTGACAAAAGATTTCTCTTATCTGACAGATTAATTTCATTTACCTTCACTTCTCTAAAGCCTGAGTGTTTGGGCTGTATAATTTCTCAAGACAACTTAAATATTCATAAGTAAAACCAAACTTCAAAAATTTAAAATATGTGAAATATTCCTAAGCGTGAGCCAGAGGTATTTTCACAACAGCAAACTGCAATTTGCTTCTGTATTTCATCCCTGTTTCATATTGGCCCCTAAACATACCTTGAATATTTTTAATATTCTTGGAAGAAAAAAAAAATTCAGGCTTCTTTTAATTATGTATAAGTTTCATCCCCCTTAGCGAATGTTTTTCATCCTCTTTTAAGTGAAGCAGATATTGTACCTACAAAAATGGTTGGTTCCTGCCTTTTACATTTTCAACATGGTGTTTGTTTCCTTTTGTGGAATAGAAGGTCAAGACCTATTTAGCTTTCAAATCTTTTTAAAAATCACTACGGAAAAGTATTACAGTCTGTATTATTTATCAGTTCACATGGCTAGATGGTCTACAGATCCAAGTAAGAAATCATGCATCTGTATTGTCATTAGCAAAACAATTCAAAGGCTTAAGGAGAATGAAAGATTACACCAGCATCTGTGTTATCACGAATACATATATATCAATAAATAAGCAAAGAGAAAGGATGAGACTTGCACTTAAATAAATTACAGTAACGAAGATAGTTCAGGATATCACACTCAAACTGTGTGAAAAATGCAAAATAACTCCACCTCTAATTCAGCCTCATAGTTGCAACTTAAACCTCAAAATGATATTCCTTAAATTGGAATGTGATTCTCAGGGGTTTTTTGCCTCTAGAGTCTTTCTTCTGTCCTACTCACAAGCCTTCCTTCCTGCTTCAGAGCTATCAAGACCCCCAAATCCGTTGTGCACAAGAGCTATAAAGTTTCCTGGGAGATCTGCCGTGCAAGAGTTTTCTATATATTTTGTGCCAATGGACCAGCATTAGCAATTACATATATATGCCTGTATGCCAGTTATTTTCTGGGCTACCTGCTTTGCAATTTTGTTGTAAGTGGGCATGAGAGATTAACATACCTAAACAGGTTGGGATATGCAATACTGGGATGCTACACCTTACTGGGGTCAAGCTCTGTAAGGTGCATTTTATAGTCAGTCCAAATATGTTCTGCTGCCCCTCATCATACTTATAATATCAGGATTACTCCTCACTGACTTCAGTGGGATTTCTGTAGTGTAAGATACTGTTTACAGTGAAGGCTGGTAACAAAAACTAGCACTCAGAGTTCAATAATCAGTAAAAGTTTGAAAAACTTTATTCAAAGTATAGCAGAAAAATTTGCCCTTTGTTTCAGCCAAAAGAATCAGCACATCTGTCACTAATTTAAAAATTTTGAGTTGAAAATAGAACCGCCAAGAATGTTTGAATGGCAAAGCACACAGAAATGCTCCACCCTTTTTGAATAAGAAAATCAAAGATACAGTGCAGTCTTTACTGCTGTGTGATCCCAAGGAGCAAGAGGATTTAGGAAAATGTATTTTTCTGTGATGATGACCTGAGAATATAATGTTCATGCTTCATGCTTGCCTTGAAGAAAAACAGGCAGCTTTGCAAGCAGAATTTTATAGCACATTCATCCCATCACTAGCACTAATTCTAATACGCAGCCTGAATTGACCCTCTAGAATTGCTTTTATTGCAGAAAAAGTTTGTATTAAGTGCAGAAAGCCTGGATGAAATTAATGGCTGAGCCTAAAATAAACAATGACACACCCTTACTCATACGTAACACTGCAATGTAAAGTATTTAACCCTTCTGGCAATGTGCTGCCTTTGAGAGTAGAAGTAAAAACAGTAGAATTAAGTTTGGAAAACAAAACTATTACAGTGATTATTGCTTCTGCCTGGCAGAAATGCATCAACCAAAATGAAAGGTAATCTGAAAATCATTTTCCAGTGCTACATTAGGAGGCAGCAGATTTGTACAGCCAAACAAAGCACACAAAAATAGATCCCCAGAACTCTTGGAAAGGGGAAATCTTGTGTTTTATACAGTCCATTTTAAGAAAATACAGAAGTATTTGAAATAGTAAATGATCACATTCTGAAAATGGTATCTAAGGAAAAGAGCTTAAAAAGGACCATTAAGGTGGTACCTCAGCATAATATGAGCATAAAACAACTACAGAAGAACGTTGCAGCCTGTGGGTAATGACAAACATTTAGGATGATAATAAAGGAATACAGCAATGTTAATATTAGTTAAAGACTGCAGGGATGTATCTTCAATCATGCTGTTTACATTTCCTTAAATAATCTATAATTTCATAAAGTAGCTTCACGTTCTTTCAAATGGCCTCCAAGTGCAAAGGTGCACTGAAATTATTGACATGCTGTTTCTCCTGGGCCTAATTCAAACAAATAAGCTGTATGTTCTTTTAAAAGAAGGTGCTATTGAATTTCTGTTTTTCTCTAGCTGTAAATTGAAACCTATGTATAGCAATATATACATGATATGAATAAAAGCAAAATTGAGGGAAGAAACCATTGATGATAACACATTTTTGGCAAGGTAGTTGAATAGTTCAGCTAAAACTGCTAGACTTGTAGAAAACACTTTCTTTTACCTTACAGGCCAAACAATTTCTCCTCTCCTCCTTTAATATTGTGGCATAGTGTTACAAAATAAATATTTGAAAATTCTTATCTAAGGAAGAATCATCATATCCTACAGGATGAGAGCCAGGAAACCCATGTCATCAAGTCATTACAATGTGAACTGGAATAATCATTACCATAAAAATAATTCAAATCATCAGAAAAAGCATAAAATTTTCCTGCAATCACATTCATGAAACCCTATTTGACAGGGTTGCATTAAAAAGTGATAAATTTTGTATCAACTTAATTTTAATTACAACTTTCCTGTTAGGTTGTGTAAATTAGCTTTAATATTAAAACACTCACACATATGCCCAATTCACAATGTGAAATTTACAGCAAACCCATCACTATTTACAGCAAATGCAAACAGCTGGAATTTTGGGAAAATTCAGGTTTGATCTGCATCCTAAATTTGAATGTTTAAGAATGTTCTCATTGAAGGTCTGATTTCAGTCTGTACTCCTATCCAGTGCAATCCACCAACTTTCACATTAAATAAAAAGTTTTGGTTCAATAGGCTCCTCTTGTAAAATGTGCAAATTACAGCTGTCCCACTGAACTTGGGTAAGTCAGAATGACAATGATGGCTCACAAGCTCTGAACTAGAACAACAAGATCTGAAAAGAACAAGAAATAGTAAGCTTGCCGTAGTATTGATAAAGGGCTAAGCTCTTGAAATCAGTAATAACTCAAAATACACTCAGCAAAAATGTAATAAGGCTTTTGGATGTGGCTGATCACTTTTTGAGGTGACATGAAAAGATCAAAGCGATTTCAAGACTCAGTTGTACGCATACAGCACGTGGAAGCCTGCATATCAGCAAAGCCCCTGACACATATTATGCACCCTATTCTATCACTGACTAATTTAGAGATCATTTATTCTATGCTGTTACATATACAAATGCTATTTACAGCCATCCTAAATGACAACTGTTTAGTGCCTCACAACTTTAATTCAGAAAAATAAATTACAGTAATGTGTAGGGTATAGCGTGGCACTGGATGCTCAACTGCCAGCACAGAAATCATAGGGCTGAATGCTATTTTTAAGTTAAATAGTATCCACTGGGATTACTCAAGGACTATATCTGAGTAGGTAAGAGCATGCAAGTTTATAAACTTAGACCTTATTTTGTTGCCACAAGTGATCAAACATGGTTGTACATATTTAAATGACCATGCTGATTTTTAAATGTATCCAATGCCCACAAATCCTATTGCAGCTTGCTTTAGTGATCCCAGTTTATAAATAGTGGACAGTTTTTAAGGACTTTATTTTAGTGTTTTCTCATTAAGATTTCAAGAGGGCTCAAATTGGAAATGGCACTTCCAGAGTTCTGAGTCTGGCCACCTTCTCTTTTTTGGTTTGTTTGTTGAAAAAGGGTTTATTGCTCAGAGGGAGAAAACCTTCATAAAGTTTAATGCGTGAAACCGGAGAAAACATTTACATTGCTCTTCAGTTAAGTCTGGAAAAATCTGTCAAACAATAACAAGAAATTGATATCTTCTCTTTCAGAAAGCAGAATCACAGTGTCTCCTCACAATCCCACCTTGTAACCAGATTTTGGTCCTGGTATGAGAGCTCCAAGGGGGCTCCAGCAGCCCTCATGCCAGAGCCTACCAGTTTAACCTACAAAAAGGATTGGAAACAACTCTCCAGGAGAGAAGAATTAAGGCTGCAAGTTGAGCTGTTCTGAGGGAGGAACATTAAGACTGTTAACAAAAGCAAACTCTTGGGATAGCTGTTCAGACCATGTATTCTGATGAGAAATGCGTCTGTCCATGTATCTGCCCACATATCTGTTTTGCAGAAACTACATTTTCACAGTAGAAGACTTTGTCTTTCCATTCCTACTAAGTGCTCTATCAGACAAGAACTGCCAACTCTTCCACTGAAATCAATAGGAGCAAAAAGTCCCTTTGGCTCAAGGAAAGCTCTCATTCAAGTGAGGGTTGTCTGAAGAATTTCAGGATGGCAGCTAGTGTGAATTGTGAGTCCTCATGCTTACAGAGACTGTCAACCTGTTCTTGTTATTATGTATTTCTACTTACTATCAAATAAGAAAAAGGGAACTGTGGACACTTCCAAACTAAACTAAAGACAAATTATTTGGTAAGTCTTTGTAATAGAACTAAGGTATTAGAAGCGTTTGCATGTAAG